TTTACACACACACATATATATATATATATATATATATATATATATATATATATATATATTATATATTATATATTATTCTTATTATTATTATTATTATTATTATTATTATTAACTAAATAGTAAATAGTCTATAATAATAAATATATCTAGTATTTAAATAGAAACAAATCTATATTACTTAAATAATTCATAATTATATAAAATATTATAATAATAATAATAATAGAAAAAAAATATATATATATAACTAGAGTTCATTATTTATTTTATAAATTTTTTTATTTTCCTATGAATAATTTCTAATAAAAAAAAATTAATAAAAAAATTAAATAATAATAATAATAATAATAATAAAAAAAATTAATAAGCCTGAGCTCGAGCTCGAGCTCGCCAAAATTGGCTCGAGCTCGAGCTCGAGCCAAAAAAAATTGGCTCGATGAGCTCGAGCTCGGGAACATGGACTCGAGCTCGAGCTCGAGCTGGCCAAAAGAGCCGAGCTCGGCTCGTTCCCACCCCTAGTAAGAACACATTTAGAGACTTAAGTGTATAACATTTTATAACTACACTTTATAAAAAAAAAAATACATACAATTTATAAAATTAAGATATACGTTTGAGGCTAAACGCAATTAAGACAATTTGGAGAAAATCGTGTATATATGTTAGGTCTTCTAGGATTTGATGCTGACCTTTTTATTATTTATACAATTGAAAAGTGGATGTGTTGTTTGTTAAGAATGGTAGACAAGTGTGCATGCATTAATAATATAATAACAGTATAAACACGATTCTCTAGTTGGCATCGAAATTCGAATTATACGAGTTCGGTTGGAAAAGATAAAGAAAAGATCTACAGCTTTCGTGTTCTGAATTGATGAGTTTCGAGGCATCCATCAATATAATGTAAAATATTGTAATAATATAAACTCGATCAGTATTTGTTGTACAAACCTTCCACGTTTGCAACTTTCAAACGTAAGTAAAATAGAGAAAGAAGTTCCCGCAAGAGATGGCCTAAGATTGAAACTGAAACACGTGGGTTATTTCCACATTTTGTTTTTAACTTTCTTATTTTTTAAACTAAATTTTAGTTATTGAAAAAGTAGTGCTTAAGTATAGTACTTAGTGGGTTAAGTAGTGCTTAGTGGATTAAATTGTGGATTTTATCTTAATTTCTAAACTAACCCACTAACCCACTTTCTTGAGTGCTCTTGTGGTTTGTTTTCTTGCAGATCATGGGCTGAGGAGTGGAAGCTTGAAATGTCTATAAATACCGATTTCAATACTCGAGGAAATTGATCGATTCCAAGAAACAAAAAACCGAGAGCTGAAAAGAAAACATGAGTGTTTTAGAGTGGTTTTAGAATCGGTCGTTTGTACTCCTCATGAGTACATTCTTTACGTACTCCTCATGAGTACATTCTTTACGTACTCCTCATAAGTACATTCTTTACGTACTTCTCATAAGTACATTCTTTACGTACTTCTCATAAGTACATTCTTTGTAGACTAGATTGTTTAGTATATATGTTTCTAGACTTGGTTGTAAGAATGATCAAGATAGTGATTCATTCATAAGTTCTGTACGTACTCCTTATGAGTACATTCTTTGAAATCTAGAATTTTTAATATTTTTCTTTTAGTATCTAGATTTGATTGTAAGAATGATAATGAGAATGATTCATTCATAAGGAAGAAGTTTTCGCACCTCTTCCGTTTGTATTCTTGGAATACTGATTTTAATATAATTTTTCCGTCCTGTAAAGGGCAAGTTCCCAAGTCTTTACTTGTGAACATTTTTAAATCTGAGTATTGTTCTTTTATCTTTATATTTCCGCTGCATGTTTGTTCAAGTGTCATAACACTTAAGATAACACCTCTGTATTAAACGAATTCGGGACCATAAATTTTTTTCAAAAATGAATTTGTGTCAATATAATTGACCAAAGTTCGAACCCCTTGTCAACGGATACGAGGTCGAGCTTATCACATATTGTTAGTTTAGTGTGTTTTACGTTTTTCGTATGATTTGCAAGCTATTATACGAGAGTGTAGGTTTATCCAGTAAACATATATAATGGCTGTGAGTTCCTTCATCACCGAAGATAACCAACTCCTTAATCTAGTCGCGCGTCTTAAACTCAATGTTTTTACATACAATGCCACTTGATACAAGTGCTTAGACCATCTCAAGAATTTCGAGATCTCTAAGCTCGTTTTGCCTTTGGCCTATCCACCACGGACCTGTAAAAAGCCCTTGATGGGTGCTCGGTGATTTGCACTCCGAAACTCAAGTCAAAGCAATCCATGCATTGAGAAAAATATGAAATTATATTTATAGCGTATAGGGAATTACATATATTTGTATGGTATTATATTCTAAGGGATGTGATAAATGTCGTTTCAGTATTTTGACCATTTTTAAGTTTGAATTTGGCAAAATTCAGAGCATGGAATTTGTAGTTCTTTGAGTTAGCTTTCTAATCTAATTTGAATCGCCAAAATTGGATGTCGGTTGAGAAAGTTATGCATGAATCAATGAACACTGCCCACAAATTTGATGTTTTAAATTATGTAAAATTTAAAACGTAACTCATTCATGCATAACTTTGTCATCCGACATCCAATCCAGCTGATTAATGTTGGATTGGAAAGCTATCTCAAAGGACTACGGTTTCCGTCTTTTGAATTTTGCCAAATTCAAAGTAGAAAATAGTCAAAATCACTTTCGAAGTCAAAATGATATTAGTAAAATTAAAACAACATTTAACATTTCAGATATTCTAATCATCATTTGCCTCGCTACTTCATATCTCAATCCTGTTTCAGCTCGTCGGCACATCTTTAAGAATAGCTTGTCTTTTCATCACTCGAATTTAGGTTGTCGCTTCGCCGGCTCATCACTAACCAACTCGTAACATCAAAGGAGCTCGTATTTCATCACTTATTTGTAATATTTTTTTTTTTTGGTAATATATTTTATTTTACTTGTAATAAATTTTAATTTTATTTTTTTAAGTACCAAATTCAAATAAGAATTTCCCTTGAAAATAACTCAAAATGAAAGCCCAATTAGGCCCACTAGAAAGATCCGCCACCTGGCTTCTGCCGACTGGCCCTTTTCCGCTTACCCCCTTCATTTAATTAACTAATCTTAAACCAACAAACAGTAATTAAACTCGTCATTAATTCCGCTAATTACATGATTAGTTATATAACGCTAATCACCCTAGATATCCATTCACACATTAACACACAGAAAATGACATAAAGTAAAAAAATAAATTCAATAAATAAAAATAAATAATTGTCACTCAAAAATAAATCTGAAGCGCTTTCTCTCTGTCCTCTCAGCTCGCGGAGTTCAGCACAAAAACCACCAGCAGATCTAGATCTTGTTCGATTTCCACGTTTTAGGTAAAAATCTCGCATTTGCAATTTTGTGTTTTTTCCGTACGCTCGTTGATTTTGTTTCTTCCTTTTTTTCATTTCGAATCGGTATTGATTCGTTGGTCTTTGTTTCGTGAGGATCATGGATCCGTACATTTGATCGTGTTCTTGTGGAATTTCAGCTGTTGAATTGTCGGTTTCGGTGCGTTGAATTGGTTGATCGTTTGTTTGATTTCATTTGATTGTGGTTTTCTCTAAGATTATTAAGTGTTTGGGGCAAAATTACTTACCGATAATGTGGGAATTGTACCGTTATCTTCTTGGTTGATGCAGAAATATATGGTGAATTGGTGAAAGATTCAATTGTAATAATCTTTTTTTCGATTAGATCATGTACCCCGTCGGTCGGTGCATTTGCTACTTTGGATAATCATATGCTAGTTTCTTCTTATTTCAGGATTAGTAATAGATTAGGGTTGCTTAAGGACTAATTATGAAGAATGTGATGTGTAGATGGGATTAGTTTACAATAATTAGCTTTAGTTTCTGTTTAATTATTCTTGTTATTTAAACTCGTAGCGATTTCTACGAGCAATTGGTGGATATATTTGTGTTTTAGTTACCATTTAGCTGCTAAATTACCTTTGAATCTTATTTTCTACTGTATTTATATTTTGGGTGTGACAGGTTATTGCAACTGTAAGACGATGTCAAGAAGACCCAATGCTGCTCGTCGTTTTGGAGAGAGTGGGAGCATTCCTTTTGTGGGTGCATTCCATTCCAAGTCCCATCCATCTCCACTATTAACTATAGGACTTTTTGTTGTGGTAAATCTCGCCTTATTTTTATATGTTTATATTTTCCTTCGTTTATATTTGCTTCTAAGAGGATTTTGTTGACATTAAATTTTAGTATTTTTGCCTGGATTTGAATTCACAATGAGCAAACTCATGGATGTCTTTATTGAATTTTCAGGGAGCACTGCTGATTGTCGGTTATCTGTATCATGGTTCAGGTCTGTTGTTGATCTTTTCATATAGATACACACTTATATATATATATATATATATATATATATATATATATATATATATATATATATATATAGGAAGATTGATCAAATAATTCATTCCTAAACTGAGTTTTGAATTGTTTTCTGACAGGTGGTAGGAGTGGCGATATAGGTGCTTTAAATAGACTTGATGGTGAGTGACTATGGTTTAGAATGATGATTCTTACTGTTTCAATTTCTTATCTAGGAAACTCTTGCTTTTGTTATTCTTTATTATCATGTGCCTTAGCATATCAATGGATACAATGCTCGAATTTACATAAAGGAAGACGCCTTTGCTAGATATTATTTTCCCTCTTTCACTTATCAAACATATCCCACGCTTGCTAATAAAAATGAACCTCATTCCGATTTATTTACCCATTTTCTCTTTTTTCAGTGAATACGGATTAATAATTTACGCATGCGTAGAAGTTTTCGTTTCTTAGACTCGCCATCGCTATTTCTGCAAATTTCCTTTTTCTTGTTTTTTGAGTATTTTGGTGAAGATGGTGGTATTTTCTTCGTTTTGGTAGAATTTTGAAAACAATTATCATTGTAAAAATACATTTAGGAGATTGGTTATTTCATCAAAAGGGCGTCATATCCAATTCACATAATTTTACTTCCTAATTTACATCTGATGCTAAAATGACGTTATTGATGTGTATGCTTATCATGGTTGCCCTGATATTTACCTCTTGAGTCTTACATTTGATGAAAATTGTTTTTACATATATGCAGGTGGAGTTTCATGTACACAAGAAGTGCAGAGACTAATACCTTATCTAAAGAAAGCGTACGGCGACAGCATGCGAAAAGTATTGCACGTGGGCCCCGAAACCTGCTCAATAGTTTCTCAACTATTAAAAGAGGAAGATACAGAAGCTTGGGGCGTAGAGCCATACGAGTTAGACGATGCTGATAGCAATTGTAAGAGCCTCGTGCACAAAGGCGTTGTGCGTGTGGCTGATATCAAATTTCCTCTTCCGTACCGGCCAAAGTCGTTTTCTCTCGTTATAGTTTCGGATGCTTTGGATTATCTGTCCCCTAAATATCTCAACAAGACTGTTCCCGAGTTGGTTAGGGTATCTTCTGACGGCTTAGTTATTTTATCGGGTAAAAATTCTATGGAACTTCGACTTATATGTTATTATTTTTTTAATGTTTGGCTGACAGGTGTTGATTAACTAATGAGGAAGTTCTTGTAATTGTCGTTTAAATGCAGGTTACCCAGGTCAGCAAAGGGCTAAAGTGGCTGAGCTATCCAAGTTTGGGCGTCCGGTTAGTTTATATATTTCTTCCTCCTAGTTTATTTTTATTAATTTTATTTTCTAAATTCATTATTGCCATTCTATTCCCTTCGTATTATCGTATATCATTCTTGATAACTGGCTCCATCAAATAAAATGGATCAAAGCGCCCAAAATCACGATTTTCTATGAGCAACAAGGATTCTTGGAAATCATGTGAGACCATTTGGAATGACATTGTTAAGACACAAGTGGTCTTAACAGCTGTCAAACATTAAGATCAAGGGCTAAACTCTTAGGCCTTGTTTGGATTGTGATTAGGTTGGATAAACACTACAATCAAGCATTGTTAAATGCTTGAGCTTTAGGTTTCAAGCCCATGATAAGAATATAAAAACAACCCCGAATTTAAGCATATAAAAGGATATTTAGTCCAAACTTAACCCTTGTGGCCTATTACTACACAATCCTCCGAATGATTGTAAAATCCTAACAAATTCAATCAATTTCATCAACAATCCGAAACGAAGCCTTAGAACTAATTTGTTCGGTGTTCGTTGTGCAGGCCAAATTACGGAGCTCGTCTTGGTGGATTAGATTTTTCATCCAAACCAGCTTAGAAGAGAACGAACCTGTTATCAAGAAATTCGAACAGGCAACATCAAAGAAATCTCTCTCTTCAGCCTGCCAAGTTTTCCACATCAAACCATTGCACTGAGAATCCCGATTTGTAGAAGGTATTCTCTGTGGCAACTATTCCGACACCTTTAGTTCCGACAGCGTTAAATTATCATTTTGTGTAATTTGTGTCAATTGTTTAATATAATTACTTAATATGAGACATTTTATATTATTATTTAATTATTATTATTTTTTAATTTGTTTTGCTTTTCTTTGATTAGCAATCCACCAAAGTAAAGTGTATCCTCGTTTTGTATGACATTAATGTACTTGTTATGCTAGCATGAAGTGTGCTCAGCATTACTATTTATTATTATCAAATATCAGTTTTTTTTAATTAATTAATTAATTTATTATTATTATTTTAAAGTTCTTGATAATGGAAGTTTCTGTTATTTTATTGCCAGTTTCTTTTATATATTTTATTGAATTTTGCGTTTCAACACTAACTTTAATTATCCTATATGCAATCACGCCAACCCTAGTTAAAAAATTCTCTCTCTAATTAACCCCCTATTTGCTCCCCATATGTTTCCACCATCAATTTCCTATTTATCCCTATTCCTTTCTATAAAAGAGAGGGAAAAAAAAAACTCACATTTCCACACACACACATACTAGTGCAAACAATGGATTGGCCGATTACGGTTTCGATCATCTTCATTTGCATGATGACGACGACGAATACGCAAGCCCAAAACTCCGCCCAAGACTTCGTAGACGCCCACAACGGGGCCCGGTCCGAAGTTGGTGTCCCACCTCTCATCTGGGACGAGACGGTGGCGGCCTACGCGCAGTCGTACGCAGACCGACGGTCCGCAGACTGCGCGATGCAGCACTCCGACGGGGGGCCCTACGGGGAAAACCTGGCGGCGGGGTCGTGGGATTTGAGCGCCAACGAGTCGGTGGGCATGTGGGTCGACGAGAAGAAATTCTACGATGTTGATTCGAATGCTTGTGTTGGAGGGGGAGAGTGCGGGCATTACACGCAGGTCGTGTGGCGGAATTCGAGCCGGGTTGGCTGCGGTAGGGCCCGTTGCTTGGATGGGTGGACCTTTGTTACTTGTAACTATGATCCACCTGGGAATTACATTGGAGAGCGTCCTTTCTAATTAAGATGGTGTTTTGAAGAAATTAATTTATGTTAATGATTTACTTAGCTTGTGACTAAGTGCTTTTGTTTGATCCTAAATGATGCAATTAGATGATATTCTTGAAAAGATGAAGATAAAAAAATGAGGGGAAAATGAAAATTTGTGTATATTTTATATCTTTGTAAGTATATGGTAAGATGTATAACTCGAAAGATGTGATAGATTGGACAAACCATGATAAAAAATTTAGCAATTAATTAGTTAATCAAGAATCAATGAGTGTATAATTACAAATTATAATCACGGGCGTTTGTCTCCCTTTATATTTTAGTACTTTCACGGGCTTTTGAATCGCGCGCAATTTGCTAAACATCTCTGGACACTACTATATTTTCAAATCAGGACAACTGCAATATAACGTAGTTTAGACATTAAAAATAGAATAAAAAACCAAGTTTGCCCCATTTAGTGAATTAATGGGAAAGTGGGGTTGATTTGAACTCAAAGAGAAAATATAAGGGGTATTATGGGAATATGTAAAATGGGAGGGTTTCAAATTAAATAAATGTGTGATACTTAATTAGTTCTAATCTTTTTCCCAATGAGGGTGTTCTACCAGTTACTAAACCAGTTTCACTCTAGTAAACATTCATATATATAATTTGATCCATAAAAGTCTTTGAACCAAAAGAATCATGTTAAGCTAAAAGTCTATCAACCATTAACACACATCATTGGCGGCCGCTGGTGGCCGACGGCGGTGGAGCTCCGATGACATTTGTTTGCTAAGCGCTCTCTCTATCTAATATCTCATTTGCTAATTTACTCGATCTCTCAATAAATTCTCACTATCTAAACTCTCATTCAACACTACTACTACTCGGATTTCATATATTTGTTTGCTAAGTTCTCTATATATCTACGCTCTCTATTTGATCTCCAGTTTGCTGCTATGTTTCGCTGACCGCTCGTGTTTTAGTGTGTGTGTTGTGTGTGATTGTATATATGTTGATGGAAGAAACTCGAAAGTATATATAATATAATGACTTATTGAATATATATAACAAATATTTATAGCAAAGAAAAAATATAAAGGAAAAAAAAAACAAATTTCCCCCTACTTATTCACATTATTAATTATCACACGTGCTCATTTGTTTGTGACTACTCACTATATATTAAAGTGAACTTGTCTATTAATATAAGATCCCAATTAATTCAACAAGAAAATGAATTCATGCATGACAAAAATATTATCAAGTCAATAAAAAAATTAAATAAATAAAAAAACATTAATCCTAGGGAGTACCATATATATACGCAAATGTCAAAACTGCCCTTGTCCAAATCCATGATGAATACCGCAATTATCATGATAATCAAAACCACCACTCAAATGACTCTGATTCCCAAACGCCGTCGTATCATCCACTGAATACGCCGCCGCCGCCGCAATGTCCATTGAATTAGCTCCGGCCGCCGCCACCGGCCGCAAGGAGTTCGAGTTGCGCATAAGCATGAAATCATTTGCCCTCATAGTAACATTCTTCATCAGTTCTTCCAGCGCCTCCGCGTACTGTACCAGCTCATCCAAATCCATCCCTTCCACGTCAGCATCATCCCACCACAACCCGGAGGCGGCGGCGGCGTAACCCTCCACCCTCTTCGCCTCCTCGATGGCCTCCCTCCGCTTCTTCTCCACCTCCAACTTCTTGCAAACGTCGGAGTAGTGCTTGTTGTAGTCCCGCGTTTTCGCCGCCTCCAGATGCGCCTCCCTGCCGCCTCCGCCGCCGCCGAGGTAGCGGTCGACGACGGAATCTGCGGTGGGGTGGCCGAAGGAGAAGACGCGCTTGCCGAGAGAGTGGACGATGATTGCAATCTGGGCCCCACTGAGGATGCAGAGCTCACTAGCTTTCTTGAATAAACCCACGCGCCGCTTGGAGAAGGTGACTTGCCGGTTGCTTAGGTTTTCGATTTTTTTTATTTCGATCTTTTTCCGGCCCTGCGTCGTCTTCTTCACCGTGCTTCCGTTCTCTCTCAACATCACCATTGTGTGTGTTTGTGTTTTCAAAATAAAATTCAAGAAATGTAGGAATTTGAACTGGGTTTGTTATTACACATATAAGTATATATATGTTATATATATATATATATAAGAATGAAATTAGGGCAAAATGGATATGGTTATGTGACTTAATTTATGGGATCTTGAGTACATAAATTTGGGAATGGAATATTGAAACAATAAATGCTTAAAGATTTTTACAGTGCTGGCTTTCCTTCTTTAAATCTCTTCTTTTTGTTAATTAATTCAAACGGATAGTAATTTTAATAAAACTGAGAAGTAAATAATTCCATACATATACTGTTTGTTAGTTAACATTTAAATTCTACTTCTTGGATTAACTTTTATTGAACTCTTTTTTTTTTTGTTTTTTCATTCTATATTCTTACATTTCGACTTTATTTTATTTTGATAATTAATAATTAATTATTCATTAATTATAATTTGTATTTATTAAATTTCGTTATTGCAAATTAGTGAATAAGGGGATGTCATAAAAATTCTTGTTATTATGTGTCGATATATCGATCCGTTTAAAATCCGTTATACCTAAATTATTAGGGTTTGGAAACGGTTCTGGTACAATTAAAGAGATACTATATGTAATGTTTTTTAATGATTTATGATTTCCGCCGATTTACGGTCCGATTTTAATTTTACAAAATAATTCCATTGTTTTTCGGAAAATTACACTTATAAATCAGTATTATTATGCATTTTATATTTTAGGTCACTAATTGATATGGGCAAGTTTAATTTGCCCACTTCTTTGGGGTTCACTAATATCGGCCCAAAGGCTTTGACATGTTGAAAGCCCACAAGCGTATAAGCCCAATATAGCCATAAGATCTCTCCGACGAGCTGAAAATTTAGAGGCTCTGACAAGTTGAAGACCTAGAGTGTTATCTGACGAGGTGAGCTCTCCGACGAGCTGAAGATCTAGAGTGCTCTCTGATGAGTTGTGCTCGCTGACGAGTTGAGCTCTCCGACGAGCTGAAGACCTAGAGTTGAGCTCTCTAACAAGGTGAAAACAATACACAAAGTGCTTTGACCGCTTTGCCCCTAGAGTTTCATTTATCTCCTATATATATGTTAGTAATCCATCTTCAACAAAGAGGTGCCATCACTATTTCTCTTATACTTTATCTTTACGATATTTGTCTATAAACTTTGGAGGTATTCTAATTTGAGCGTTGAAGTGCTAATGCCGGGAGCACCCTTCCCGGCCCATTTTGCAGGTCCACGTTATATCGGACCAAGGTGGAATGGCTTCAACGATGTCTAATTCTTGATGTGGTCCAAAAGGGTTACATCACTAATATTTGAATTTTTTTAAATTCCGCCAATTTCGATTATAAAAATTCCAATTTTAGAACGAGTTTTTTCAATCCAATTTCCGATATTTTCGATACAAAAATGGAATTTGTTTTTCGGTTTTGGAAAAAAAATCAATTTTTTTTCCGAAATTACTAATTGCAATCTGATCCGTCCGATTTTCATCCATAATCCGTACTCATACAACGGGTTAATATTTGTGTGTATATTTCAAGAAAATACAAAAATAAGGTTTTACTAAATTTCAATTGAATCCCTTCGATTTGTAAATACAAAGAGCCACCACACATTGCCCAGGCTCCAGCTCCCATCTAGTGGCAGCATAGTGTGTGGGAAATGTAATACAGTTAAACTTCTATAAATTAATAAATATTTATACATTTTCGACGAATTAGAATTAGGAAAAATTATTATTCAAGCGAAGTTACACTACAAAAAAAAAATCTTTTGAGTGACAACACCTATTTTTCAAATAGTTAGGCAAAAAGTGTTGTCACTATGCTTGTCACTAACTGGGTGTCGCTAATGCTCTATAGTGACAATAAATAAGGATTAAGTGACAACAAAAAGAGTTATTAGTGACAATAAAAAAAAATGTTGTCACTTAATGTGTGCATTAAGTGACAACTTTTGCGTTTATCACAATTAGGGTGTCGCTAATGCAACTTTTTCTTGTAGTGTTATTAATTTATAGAGATTCTACAGTATTTTTTCTTGAAAATGCTACTTTCTTGAAAATGCTATTTGGTAGCATCAATCGTTTGCAAAAGTTATCATCATCATTTATCAATAATCATTTGACCTTTTTAATTAATGATGATATTTGGTACTAGTTATATCTCGACATTATTACTATATAACTGTGGCATCAGAACTAAATTAAATATGTATTAAATGAAGAGAATTATGCCATAGTAATAGAAGAAACGTCTACTTCCAACATCTGATTAATCAAACTTATAATTAACAAATATTAATTAGGATCATATATATGTTGTAACTCCAAATTAATTAACAAATCATAATTAGCAGGTTGGAAATCTGATTAATTAAAAAATGAAAATGCCATCAGCAAATATTATTATCTTTTTTTTTCTGAAAGTAAAAAGGTGATTTCGATTATGATCCGAATTTTATTTTTATTTTATTCGGAATATTCGAAAATCAGAATCGAAAAAACAAAATTATAAATCGAAAAGTATCTCGACCAAAACAACAGTTCATCCTTGCAATTGACATAAAAACATCCATTTAAAAAAAAAACCCCGAAAACTGAAAACCGAAAACTAGTGAGATACTAGATTAAAAAAAAATAAAATAAAAAATCAAAAAACTCCATGAAAATATCCAAAGTTGCTATTCACATGATTAATCATAGGTGTCTGCTC